CGGACTATTTGTCCCAGGTAAACATACTCGTCAACAACTTCGAGCTTAGTGCTCCCAACAACTACCGGCATAGGTGTGAAATGGACATTAAACATGATCTTTGTTTTGTCCATGTTCATCTTAAGACCTATATGGAGACACCATTGAGGTCATTAAGCATAGTGCTAAGGTCCTCCAGCGATTCTGCCATAAGGACTATATCGTCGGTAAATCGAAGGTGAGTGATGTACTCGCCATTGATGTTAATACCGTATCCTTTCCTGTCCAGTAGCTTGAAAACGTCTTCCAACACAGTGGTGAAGAGTTTCGGGGATATTACATCACCCTGTCTTACACCTCTCTGCAGTTGGATAGGTTTCGAACTCCGGTTCTGTACTCGGATAGCCATCGTAGCCCTACTGTACAAACACTTCAGCACTTCGATATACCGACAGTCAACTTGGCACCGCTGAAGAGACTGTAACACTGCCCAAATTTCGACGAAATCAAAGGCTTTCTCATAGTCCACATACGCCAGACAAACTTGGCAGATTGTACTCTTCGGACTTCTGTACAATTTGCCGAAGGGTATGCATGTGGTCTATGGTACTAAAGCCTTTTCGGAAACCGGCTTGTTCGGGAGGCTGGAAGTCGTCGAGTCTGCGTGCTAGACGATTCGTACCACCATGGAGGACAGAATTAAAGAGCCTCTGAACGACTTCAAGTACCGGTTTTCCACTCGCTTTCAGAAGCTCCGCTGTAATTCCATCCTCTCCCGGGGACTTGCCGTTTTTAAGGTGCTGAAGAGCCATTCTAATCTCGCTCAGACTGACGTTCGGGATACCATCGGAATAGTGTCGGATAAGACTTGCTCTTCGATCACTACTTACACTTGAGTGTGGCTCCAACAATGATGTGTACAGCTGCCCATAGAACCTCTCAATCTCACTCAGAATCTCAGGTGTCCCGGAAACGATGCTGCCACACTCAGTCTTCAGCTTTGACAGTTGGCTCTTACTGGCAGACAGATCTCTGGCGCAAAGACTTTGGAGCCCTGGTTTCGCTCGATCGCTTCTTCAATACGAGCAGCATTAAAGTTGCGCAAGTCTCGCCGCATGCATTTGGAGATCTGTCTGTTCAGTTGCCTGTATGCTGTCAAATCTGTTAACGATGGCAACCTCATCTCCTGTCTAACAGCCATGAGATTAAGAGTGTGATCGAAGAGTTTTTGTGTTCTTCTGCGGCGGGTTTTGCAGAACTTAGCTCTGACCGCATGGACAGTTTCCACGAGCTTGTCATTCATATCGTCCACTGCATTGCAATCTTCTAGGCACTGAAAGCGAAATGTTTCGGGATTCTGGTTTAGAGCACGAGGGGGACGGAGCGTTGACTTCATTAGACGAGACCTTTTCAACTTAACGTTTAGGTTCAGTGTGCCTCTAACTATTCGGTGATCGCTGCCAGTTTTCACCCTTGTGATCACTGAGAGATCACTGAACAGTTGGTGTCTGGTCGTCATAATGAAGTCAATCTCATTTTTTGTCGAACCGTCCCGTCGGGGCTCGACCAGGTCCACTTCCTGTGATGCCGCTTCTGGAAGAAAGAGTTCATCATAAAGAGTCCCTCTTTCTCCATAAAGTCGGCCAGCTGCTGGCCCCTACGGTTCTGTTGTCCTACTTCAAATTTCCCTAACTTCAGCTCACCACTTTCTCTTGTGCCTAGTTTTGCGTTAAAGTCTACCATCAACACCGTGTAGTGGGTTTTGGAGGAATGCTTGGCTCTGGAAATATCGTCATACATTTCCTCCACCTCCTCATCGGGATGTGCCGAGGTTAGTGCGTAAACCTGAATGACCTTCAGCAAATACCGTTTGGTGATTCTGAGTATCAGGTACGCGACACTCGTCGACACACTCCCAATCATTACAACGTTGTTGACGAGAGACTTGTGGACGATAAATCCGACACCTCCTTGGGACGACAGGTGGTCGCCCTCCCGGTGATAGAACAAGTTGCCGGACTCGAGGATTACCGTGTCCTCCCCCTCTCTTCGGACCTCGGATAATCCAATAATATGCCAGCGCAACGTGTCTACCTCTTCTTCCAGCTCCAGTATCTTCTCGTCAGTCCTCAGGGTGCGTGCGTTATATGTTGCCAGGTCGAGTCGTCGTAGGTGGCAACCGAACTTTCACCGGAGATTCTTAGCACCCCATGCCCCGCCGTTACCATGGTCGCCACCGTAGCCAGGAATAGTGGGGCCGCCGGGGACTGGAGGCTGTTTGTTTGCGTCGTTACTCATTTTTAGAGATATTTGCCATAGTTGCCACGCTTGGCGAGCGGGTTAGCAACCGCAGTTATTTATTATATTATTGTTGTTATTGGGTAGATGCTGCTGCCCATGCCCTGCCTGTCTCCCTCTGTCGCCTCTTATGACACCCACGGGAAGATATGGGGTATAAGATATTCTCAACCGCCACTACATGGCACAGCAAACAGAATATACCTGCATTTTTAACATTAAAGACATAATCAATATTTTATAAAACTTAATTTTTCATAACAGACCACTGCTAAAGATGAGCTTCTCTTGCAATGTGACAAAATTAATTTAGCACTTGAAATTCAAAACAAAATTATGATAAAAATATTAAGATTCAAAATTTTGATCTACCTTCAAAGTCATCAGCTACAAAGTCCCAACCAGGGCGTGAGCGCTCTTCCCTTTCTGGATCGGCAGGAGAAGGAGCTCGCTCTTCTGTAGGCGAGTGCCGCTTCTCACTTGCCTTAATTTCCTTACGTTTTTTCCAGGATTTGCGTAAGTTGCCAAGTGTTGGCTTACCAGCATCACCATCTATGGTGGGCTGGCGACCTAGACCATTGCTGTAAACAAAAATATATAAATGAGTAAAAACTACTATTGGATTATTTACCATGTGAAGTATTTATACATAATAAGCCATCTCTTCAGGAAAGGGCACAGTCCAAATGTTCGATAATAATGACATTTTCTTTATATTTGTTTTTTTTTTTTAAAGATGTTACCTACCACACCCGGAACAATTCTTTATGGGTCATACAAATACTTATTTCGTGCAAGACTCGACCTGCGCTTTTCAGCGCCGGAATTAGATTCAAAGCAGCTGCACTAAGGAGCCGTCAAATTAGTATAGAAGTACTTTTACTAAAGAAGAAATTAGCAAGAGGATAATAAAAGATATAAAAATGTTGAACCCAGCATTTTATATCTTTTATAACAATAGAATATTATAATATAAAAAAAAATCCGATTGTAAGCGGTTACTGTAATCAGACTAATATGTATATATCAACTAAACTAATACTAACTTATGCTCAAGACCAAAAAATTTTCTAATATGATAAAAATACTATAATATCAAAATTTTATATTTCTTTTTATCTTAAAATATCAAAATTTAATATTTCTTTTTTCTTAGAGAGAGAGAAAAAATACTATATATGTAATAGTTAAGGAAATTTTAAACTTTTTAGATATTTTTGCTTTTCTCACCTATCCCCATTTTCATGTAACTGTAGACGTGAAGCACGAGAACTGAGCGCTCGACAGGTTTCTCTGATATTGTCTAATATACATACTAGAAGTTCGTGCGCGTCTTGCTGTCGGTTACCTGCAATAAAAAAAATAAGATGGTAACAGATGCATCAGGTGCATGCCAGCTAGTAAATCGAGCCTCTGAAGACCGAAAAAATCACTAAATAAGCCGAACCCAAATTACACGTATGGCGGCGCTGTCGTCGCACCACAAGCGAATGACATCGTAGTCTAAATCGCGCTCAAAGTTCCGGAGTAAAACAGCATATATAGAACAGCTCTTAACTACCATTCTGCGCCCCCTTTTCCCCAGGGGAAAAGCCAAAGCCAGTCCCAGGTGGTGTTTAGTGGGTAGGCACTTAGGTTTTCATGGTCAGTCCCAAATAACCACGAAGACGGCTGCTTGGTATACTAAGAGCATTCACCACCTCCCCCTCCCCCGCTTCCCTAAGGGTAGCCCTTTACTTTGCTGCTGGGCGCAAAAAAAAAAAATAAACTACCATTCGGAGCGTTGGCCGCTCCCCGGGCAGAACACCTTGCCCAATCCGTCTGCTCAGCATGGTATATAGAAGCACCATGTTGAACAGCAGACAGGTGTGATAAGACAAATCATTCTAAGTACTTAGCGGTCAGCCGCCGTAGAGTCTATATTACCTGATGATGCCTCGTGTAGAGGCGAAACACGTGTCGTATTATCGTCGATGGTGTGTCTTGCCTGGAATAGTGGTGTTGAGAGTAGTGGTGCTAGGTCTAGTGGTGACGGAGTTAGTGTATGCAATTGAGGGAGGACGGGAGGTGCGCTTCAATCCAGGTAAGACACATCATTTTATATGTTTAGCGGAAAGTTGCAAAGAAATTTATATTTTTATTTTTTACAAATCATTCTAACAATTCTCACACTTGGAGACGTTTTACATACATGAATTGAACTGGAAAAACACTTGTGTCATGGTTTTTTTTACTAGCATGAGGGTGACAAATGAACGGACAGGCCACCTAATGGTAAGTGGTTGCTGCAACCGATAGACATCTACATCTATCCTCGATTATGAATAAAAATGCAGATGCGTTGTCACCCATGAAGACTAAGATGAAATGCCTCCTTTCCAGTAAGAAGGGTCTCCGGTTCTCTACACTCATTGTACACAGCATCGTCAAGCTGCTATTCTGTGAGAGCCTAATCGTTCCCCGGTCGAGCCGATCCATTTGTGCTATAACTATACTACTAATATAGCTGTAGCATGGCTCTAGCATGTACTAAGCTCTAGTATGTACTAATGTTGGTGGCCGAACCTGCAGCCGATTGCTTAAGCATTGTGCTACTGAGCAGTCAACACAACATGCCTAATTGGAAGGCCCTTAAAATCCATAAAGTTAAGTAAATGATCGTTATATTGTGTGATGGCTCAATTTAAAATGGTAATGGGCAGCTCACTTTGCAAGATATAAGGACAAAAGTTTGACCGTTGAAACACAACTTGATGGACAAGATCTAATGACATAAGATGAATAGGTAGTAATAGAAAAATTTGGGCAGACAATATCATAGTTACTGTGGGTACACATTGAAGGACCACAAAAACACGGAAATTTCGGGGATCACAAAAAGACGGAATAAGGGGTTCCTGATAAAGAAAAAAAAATATAATATTTTAAGCATTAGTATAATCAAATAAAACAATTTTTACGGGTTTTTTCGTGTTTAAATTTACATATTTTTAATTGCCAACATGAATGTGTTTATTGACACTACACATTGAATAAAACATATTTGCAGGGTATTTTTAAATTTAGGTATGTTTTATTCAATGTGTAGTGTCAATAAACATATTCATGTTGGCAATTAAAAATATGTAAATTTAAATGCGAAAAACCCGTAAAAATTGTTTTATTTGATTATACTAATGCTTAAAATATTATATTTTTTTTCTTTATCAGGAACCCCTTGCAAATATGTTTTATTCAATCTGTAGTGTTCATGTAGATATAAGAAATCATTATTAATATAATCAATAATATAAGAAAACTATGTAAGCCTATGGAACTAATAAAAAATATTAGTAATATTATGTGGTATTTAAACACGTGCTGCAATGTGGTAAATGCTCACAGCACCGTTCTTATTCTAAATGCAGACACAATTCTTGGTTTAATCCTGTATTATATTTTTACATAGTTGACCGAGACTGTTAATGTTGTACGTAAACAAGCACTTTTATGTGGCTTCTCGTAATGCCAATACATATACAATGTCAATGTCAACGTTTCCTACTGGAATTAGTTTTAACAGTACAAGTACCAATCAGCATAGAATTTTTTATGAATACACAATAATGTTGGGTTTGTTCCAACATACACTGTGACCATTGTAAGGTGTGACATGAATCCAATATACTGTGAAGCGGTTCTTTTAAGTTTGCTATACCGGTTACTGTTAAAATGGAATGCAGTCCAGTATACTGTCATCCCCATTTGTCGACACTGTTTTCAAATGAGAAAAATTTACCATGTACACATTTTCTGTTCAACAAGAAAAGTTATTATTTTAATATTGTTGCTTTTAAAACTTAATGTCAGAGTTTCTTTGAATAACAATATTAATTAATTATAATAACATGTGATAAAGTACTAAGAGCACCACTTACCATCAGGTGGGCTGTGTACTTGTTAGTCATCCTATCCTATAAAAAAAACCTTGCCTTAAAAGCATACAAAAATGCTCACAGTACAAAAATGGCTGTGATTTATGACGTCTTATACTTCCCTATGGTACTGGGGCAGTATACTGGCAGTCCATAACAAAACGAATTTTTCACCAATGAGAGCACTTTTTCGAGCAATCACATACCTATGTGTAATGGTGTATTTGAACTCATGACTTTTTAAAGTTGATAATTTGTGAGTTGGAAATTTGTGTAATTATTGAATAAAACTACTATTTACGGATTTTATCGCGTTTAATTACTTTAATTTATTTTTATTATTATCCCGACGTTTCGGGTGCTTTACAGCGCCCATGGTCACGGGGGGGGACTGAGATGTTTGACGTCCCAATGTCATGGTTAGTCCGGCTACCTTCAGTTTTTTTAATATTAAATTTTGGTCCGATTTACGCAAAACGAGCTTATAGTATCATGAAGTCTTGCAGTGGTATGCTTGGGTTTGGGTTTAATTTTGTTAATTATAGGATCCCAAGCAGATGGTAGCACCCAACCATCTTCTCTATTGAAATTTGGATGTTTTTTAATTTCAATAGCCTCGCGTATCATCCTTGGTAGGAATCGGTGTTCTTTTGCGAGAATTTGTGGTTTATCAAATCTAATGTAATGGTGGGATTTTGTAAACCACAAATTCTCCTATAATTAACAAAATTAAACCCAAACCCAAGCATGCCACCGCAAGACTTCATGATACTATAAGCTCATTTTGCGTAAATCAGACCAAAAATTAATATTAAAAAACTGAAGGTAGCCGGACTATGACATTGGGACGTCAAACATCTCAGTCCCCCCCCCGTGACCATGGGCGCTGTAAAGCACCCGAAACGTCGGGATAATAATAAAAATAAATTAAAGTAATTAAACGCGATAAAAATCCGTAAATAATAGTTTTATTCAATGTGTAGTGTTCGCGTAAATTTAAGAAATCATTATTGTGTAATTATTTCCATTTGCATCACTATATATTGTTCTCTATTTTGTATAATATGAAGATAGAAAGAAATTGATTCGTTAATACTTCTATATACTGTCTTAACCACCAACTTCTGAAGCTATTATGTCAAAATTACTTTATTACTTTCAGTTATTTAAAGTAGGCTTTTAGTTTTTATTAGTCTCATATATCTGCTGCATAATGAAATTCGGTTTGAATAACATGCTGTATGTGAGCATAGTATTGGTAGAACTTTTTATAGTAAATTCTTACCCTCAAATGTAGAGTTAACATCCCTAAGCGCAGCGAGAAAGGCATCAGCGGCGTAAGGCTCAGGACTAGCATCACCCGAGCCACTGTTTAAACACTTGCTTTCAGCTGCTCGCAGGTTCAGGTAGGTCTCATGCAGTTTCTCTGTAGCTATCTGAGAATCAAACGTGATTTTCTATACTAGGGTTTCCACTTAAGGTTCTATTACACATAAACAACTGTTAGAATATATAAAGTTATATGTTAGTTATTGGATATTTTACATAGGTATTAAAAAAGTCAAATTATTATCTGGCTTGATTTTCTATTTCTTCAAGTTGTGGATTTGTAAAAATTTATGCTTAAATTTGTAGTGGAAGTAACTTATTCTATTTTAAGACAATGCATGTGTCAATGTTGCCATAATGAATATATGAGCAGATGGAGTTAATCTTCTTTATTTATAGAACTGGATTTTTTCATATCTAATAGAAGGAAGTTAATGTGTAGTAATTCCCCTTAAAACCCCTTCTACTCAATTGAGGAGTATTTAGATAAAAAATAATATTATGTATTTTAAATTTATGTAGCTTCTAAGTATATTTTATGTACATAAGCAGTGTCCTCGTCAAATTTGCAGTGCCTGAAAAAGGCGTCTAAGTTGTAAGCACATTTTTAATTTAAGACCAATTATGTACACTTGGATTGCAAATAAATGATTTGATTTGAATTTAATAACTTTATATAATCCAATACGGACACTAAAACACCCCTGGACAGTGTTTTATATGAGAATATTGTTCCATTTGTTGTAATTGGTAAAATTTTATAAGTAATCCAATTACTAGCTATGGCACCAGTAAAATTGTTGATGGGAATTTCATGTGCTGCTGTACCACAAGCTTTGTGATGAAGGAAAGAATGCTAGTGTAGCTCTTTTCGTACCTCTCTCCTATATTGACAGGAGCTCAACCAAATGTGACATTTTCAAACAAATTTTAGTTGAAAAGCATAGGATAGGCCTATTATCAGGCATTAATTTTCTTTCAGGTTGATATTAATTATTAAAATACTTTACTAGGCGCAGTCTGTCTGGGTATGTACCACTCCGTTGCTTATTTTACCTATTTCTGTCAACAAGTAGGAGTACATGCACTGCTGTGTTTAAGTCTTAAGAGAACCATTATATTTACAGAATTTTTCAGTGCAAATATATACCGGATGACCTTTTTACCATCTGGAAAAAAAGAGTGTAGCATGTGAACAGAGTAGAAGCCTACTAAATTTATTGTCACCCATGCCATGATCCTGAGAAGTGACAAGGTCAAAAATACCTACTTAATTTATTCTTTTATTGCCGCTCGTAAAGTAGGGTGAATATGATTTGAACTTCGATTTTAGACTCGAGATTTGAAATTATTTATTTCATTCAACATTTTTGTTTTTATTTTTTTGTAAAATATCAATGCCATAGGCTTCTACTCCGTTCACATGTTACACCCAATTTTTATCCAGATGTTAAAAAAGGTCATCCAGTATGTGTAGCCTTTTTTATTTGAAGTTGGATTTAGGTGTCCACAGCCTGCTTTAGCCTATCACTTGTTGGACTGTTAGTGATTGTGTCACTCAATATTATCAAAAAAATTACATTGACTCTTAAACACTAAAATAATGACAATAACTTGGACTTCTTTGTAAAACATTCATTTCAATATAAAATAAGACATATTTTGATGTTATATATAGGTCATCATTTAAATAACATCACCATAATCAAATTTATCATTGGGCAAATTGATAAAAATAGTATTTTAAATTGCCTTTGATAAAATATGCATGTAATTTACATATATCTTTATGGAACTGTTGTAGCTTTAAGTTTTACTTATGATGAAAAACTTGATTAATTCGAAACAATATAGCAATTTTTTTTGCATGTATTTATAGTTTTACTCCTTTTCATTTGTTATTTTGTACAAAAAACATAATTAAAACATGTAAATCACTCCGCCCTTATAGTCGGTAAAAATTTCAATAGTCTTAAATCATAAATATTATTGAAAAGTAATGAATATATTATTAATTGAATATTACATACGTCATGATTAATATACCTAACACGACTACAAGAGATAAATAATTGAAGAAAATAAATGTATTCCAATGTACATAATAACTAGGGATGTAACGATTCCGATACCGATACGGATGTATCGGCCGATATAATAGGCAAACCGATATATCGGTATCGTCGTTTATCTACGACCGATATCAAGAGTTTGAAAAGCGTGCGAAAAGAATAACGTAAGTGCGATGTTCTTGTTTTGGCTCAGCGTGTCTGTTTTCAATTGAATTAAAACAAACTTGGTTTTCTTCACAAAAATCTACCAAAAGTTAACTGTAATAACTGACTTTATTTTTATAATATATATATATATATATTTTACTTCACCACTTTGTGTAAGAAAATTACGTTCTTAATTAGCGCTGTGATTGCTTGATTATATTATTGATTATTTCACATAAAACATGTTTTATTTGAATTTTGAATTTTTATTTTTTTTTATTTTTATATTTAGGTTGTTAACCTTCTCAAGGTTCTGTCTGATAAATATAGGTAACTTCTTTGCATAATAAAGAAAATTATTCATTATTTACTTGTTTTTTTTTCTTTCTATTTATACTCAGTCACCGATAAAGGTAACGGTATCGGTATCGCTAATTATTTATTACAATAATCGGTATCGGTATCGTATTGGCACAATTATGTATCGTTACACCCCTAATAATAACTAACAAATAATACAAACTGAGTGTGAAGTGAAACTTTTATTATCAACCCACATGATCCTAGGCAAGTATTAACAAATGTGTTGGTAAAAAAGTTGGTTGAATGGGAGAGAATGCCTTAAGGCATGAAGTCTGAACTTTGGAAACATTTTTTTAATGCAAGTTTCATATTAAAGAATAAATAAATATTAAATAAACTGATGTGTATTAGTTAATTTGAAGAGGTTTTGTGTACTTGCTTTACCCTATTTACCTAGTTGGAAGGTAATACACTCCATTTTGTGATGCCATATCAGTACCAAAAGCACTGCAATTGTTCTTTTAAAAAGACTACTTTTCTATGAAGAAGTTTGGCATTATAGAATCAATATGAAATTTTCTATCATCTAGTTGAATAAAAATTCAGTAAGTCTATATTCATTTACAATCTACATTCAAAGTGCGTCATTGTAGAGTGTTCATTGTTGTACATTGTTGTGTTGATTTTTGGAATTTTCTAAGTTTAGAACAGTTTTTTATATTATAAAATTGTTATGAAAGTTTTTGTGTGAATATAATTTATCTTTTAACGTAAATGGGTAAGGTCGTAAAAAAGTGTAAATAACGCACTTGAAGATATAACACACGGTGACACAATAACGTACTGGAATAATATAAAGATCCATTGTTCACTTGGAAATAGGTTCAAGTAAAATCCATTTTCAAATATTATCAATTACTTATTTTCATGAAATTAAGATTAAATAATCAAAAACGATTCTTAGACTATGCATAGCTTGCATGTTTGCGAAACAAAACACCAAAATAACACAACACAGTAGAATTAAAGCCTTACAAAATAATGTGCTTACAAAAAACAGTAGGTAGTAATCAAAGTAGCTTATTCATAAAAGAACATAAGGAATTTAACAAATATGTGTTTACAATTTACAATTAGTACTACAGATATTATAATTATTACCATTTATCACAGAATTTTGTTTTATTGTTTTTTTTAATTATAAGGGCTATCCCATTTGACACTATTCGCGTTCGCACAGAGCCATATTTAAGATGAAATTGAAATTTAAAAATGCGTTTTTTTTAATGTAATCAATAGGCGAACTATAAAATAGTATTAATTTAATAAGTAATGACTTAAAAAAAACTTTTTGTGTATATCTAATAAACTCAGCATACAAATATAATAAAGCCACATTAAAAATGTGTTTTTAATAATAACTTATTTATATTTAGACGATTAATAAAACTTAAAAAAATGCTTCTTATAATTTAAACATTTTTTTTATAATATGGATAAACGGACCTAGTTCGGCTACTTAGGGACCACTATTAATAATAAATCAGAATAGTATAACACTCCACTCTCATGTAGGTACGTCAGAATAACATTACACTTTTTTCATTCCACCGTAGTTGGTTAAGTTATATGAACAGCCTCCTTTATAACATTCCAGTGTGTGTCATAACAAATACCATAACATACGTAACGAACTGGAAGAAACACACTCGAAATGCGCGATTTACTTAATAAAACTTGACATACTCTGGTAATTGACTATAAATTTGGAATCAGGAACCTAGTAAACGATATCTTTGTACTTCTCACGTAGAATTCACATATACACTGCCCGAAATTTGTGCTCTAAATTATGGAATTTACAATTGTTTACGGTCACGACTACAAATGAAAAAAATATGTCAAAACTGACATTTGACAGTAAGCCTACGGCGTTGCCTCATCGAAATTAGGTAAATAATGTTGACTAATGTTGAAAACACAAAATTTAAATATTGTTCTCGATATAATTTTCATTCTACCTATGTTTATTTTATGATAAAAAAAACAACCGCGCGAACACAGAGTAGCGCACATTTTTTGTTTGAAATAGCTGTTCTAGTACGTAAGTACATATTACTTCAATGTTTTAGTATGTACATTTGTTTGTACACAATTATTTCCTAATGTAAAGATATAGCATATTTTTTTAAGTTCTATAGCTTTAATGATGTTAATTTTATAATAAAACGTAATTTCTCTATTGTGTTGTTTAATTTACTAAATTTGACGTACATAATGAAGTATGATTTGTACTTCAGAGTACATATATATAACATATAGAATCTTATCATTGGATCTGTAACTTGTCGGATTACAAGGTAGTCTTTTGTAAAAAATTCCGGACTATAGGAGTCTTAGGCAGTACTCTATAATCTGACAAATTCGATAGTTCGACACTGCCCTGCAAAATGTTTGTCGGATTACCGGGGGTCCACTGTAAAGTATTTTTGTAATGATTAATCCATTGAATAACTGACTTTTGTTGAAACTATAGAATAGAGAATTTTGTATAGATTCTATAATGCCAAACTTCTTTACAGAAAAGTAGTCTATAAATATAAGTTTTAATGGCATGCGTCCGTTAAATCATGCTGTGGATGAGTGCGGTTGCATGCACCTTACCCATCCACAGCACTTTATTAAACCATTAAAACTTAGACTTATAGACTTTCTATCTTTAAAGAAGTTTGGCATTATAGAATCTATATGAAATTCTCTATTCTACAGTCTAAACAAAAGTCAGTTACTCAATGAATTTTTATTTTTAATCTACCGTAAAATTGCAATTTTCGTTACGGTTACAAACGTACGGTTAGCGAATGTCGTAAATTGACAGGAGAATAAAAATAAAATCAGATCGCTCGGGATTTGACAGATGCATGCGACTGCATGGGAATTTTAAGAGTATTGACGGGTTGTTTCAAGTGTTACCTGAATTTTACTTTTTCCAGAACTATTGTCCGACTGTCCAAGTGAAAGTAAGTCCTTACTGCTCCATGACCTAGCTCCAGAAGAAGCCAGTCCAGCTGCACTTCGACCCAGGGAGGAGCTCTTTAACCTTATACTGCCTAGTTTCTGTTCCACACTGGCCAGGTCTGATACAAGATGGTGGAGATTATGGAGAAACCGTGGCGCATACCTAAAATATAAAGTTATGTTCATAAAATTTATGTCACTTACACTAAGATGATATACCTTAAGTATGTTGTGATTTATTGTAAATAAGTTGTATTTTTTTGTCTAATTCAGTGCACCCTAACCGTTAATCTTATTTTCATTTTTATTAATTTCCTCTTCTGGGTTGTCTGGAAGAGATTGCTATGTAGCATAAGACCGCCTTTTGTTTTTTCCTCATTGTTTGTTCATTATTTGTTATATTTATGTTTTATTGGTGAACAATAAAGAGTATTGTATTGTATTGTAAGATGACAAGAAATTACAGACATTTTAAATAATTATATGAAATATTAAGTTATAAATGAACAATTATTTTGGCACTATTCAGTGTTCTGTGACAATATATTTGTTGTAATTGTGATCCAGAAATTCCCTGCCAATTGTAGTGGATATATTAATTCTCCATATTATTATGAGCAGATGATAACAGTAACTTTATACATTAAATATTTTTAAATAAAATATTTTATAATATGAAAACTGTTGATCATCATTAAAATCTTAGTATAGATGCCTTTTTTATGAACTACACTTCTGTGTCCTGCGGTTTAACCAGCATATTCGCGCGCCGAGCCGAGCGCAGAATTATTTTAATTATCTTTTAAACTATGTGTCTAAAATAACAAGCTATAAAGAGCAAAGCTTATGCTTCATAAAATTGTCTTGACAATCAATTAACTTTCGAATCATAAGCATTAATACTCCATGCCAATAATAATTACTTAATTTTCAATAATTTCTAGTCATAAAATATCAGATTAAAATATTACATAACCCATATATTGTGGCTTAATGTTTAAGAAATAGGCATATGATATCACAGACTTTTTTTAGATAGGAGGATTGATCAATATTTTTGTAGTACATTGTATTTAGGTAGCATGGATAAAGCCAGTTTGGAAGAGCTTAACCAAAATCAATATTTAAGGCTAGGTGAAAGGTGTTGCCTAAAGCTAGATAGCCCATACTATTTCTTCATGAATCTCACCATCAAATGCAAAAAGAATGTTTCATACCATACTGGTAGTTGCAGAGGTTAGCTTGTTTAAACAAACAAAAAAAACCATTGGTAAAATAATGGTCATAGAAATAAAAAATCTTCCAAATTAATAATTCTGAATGTTACAAATATATATCATATGTTTGGTTAATAAATTATAACATATGCATATCAAATCAACCAGATATGTAAAGTTACCTCAATGTATATAAAACACTGTTTAAAAAACATGTATTTCCCAGGTTTGATAACGTAGCAATTGGGGCCTTCCATTGTGTGCCTCCTCCATACTGAATATCCGTTGGATGGTGGCCATTCAACATGGCAGAGCTGGCTGGCGACTGCTCTAATACTATCAGCTCAGAATCTACAACATAACATAAAAATAATACAATAATTTAATTCTAGTATTTGGTGAAGGAGAATTTGAATATATTTGTAATAGGCACCATCCTGCTGAGTATTTTGCCACAGTGGTTTTGTTCAGACCAAAGAAGAACTATGCTCATACATAATAACAACCTGACAAAGCAGCATATTAGGTTTAGTTTAGTTTAAGACGGGCTGTTTTCCACAACTCCACGTCTAAGCGCGGATTTTGTGTGTGGGCAGAAATAATATGGTTATTTGAGCCATGATATCTCCCCGAAGAAGCTCAGCAGTCCCTTGATGTTGCAAGCAACTTCGGGGAGTGATCCCGGCGTGCCAAGATGTTTAGCCCTGTATGAAGCGACTTCAGGACATGTCAGCAACATGTGAGCCGCCGTTTCTTCCTCTCCCATGCATGCCCTGCACAGGGGGCTGTCAGTAACACCTATGGTGAACAAATGTTTATTAAAAGAGCCATGTCCTGTGATAGCACTTGTTACTATCCTGATCTGTGGCTTGTTCAGTCTCATTAATACCTTGGTTAGATGACTGTTTATTTCAGGTAGGGCCTCCCTAGCTTGTCTACAATCTACTAAATTTTTCCAAAGCTGAGCGTGTAAATTATTGAAGTATCTATGTACCAGTGAACGAACATAGCTAAAAAAAAAAGCAGCATATTATTACTGTGTTGTGGCGATGTCCAAAGCCAGAGACCCTTTTTACTGGCAATAGGGCATTACAATATAGTCTTAAGGTGGTAACAATGCATCTGTATTTCGATTCTTAATTGAAGATTGATGGCAGTGTTTGTAGGTCATAGAATCCACTTACCATCATCACATGGTGTGTGTGATCATTATTTACATCTATAAAAAAAATTGTGAAATTGTGATATCAAAAAAATATGTAGATAATAGATATTTAGTATTTTTAGCCCAAATCATCTGTTGAACTCTCTGTGTGACAGGTTAGCAGGGAATTGTTACTGCAAGTATTATTCACAGCTAATACACTCACAGTGAGTATTCACTATTTGTGAGAGAGGCTTTGCCAACAACTCTCCCAAAACTAACATGACATTAACAGTTATATAAAATAAAAGATTGAAGATCAGAAATCCGAAAGAAAGGAAATATTAGATGTCAATATACAATAAAATGATGGTAGACTAATCAATTATAATATGAACTGGAAAATTTTATATCAAAATTGTCATTTGACAACAGCTGTTGTTGTGAATTAACTCTTAGTGAAAGCATAAACTAATTTTTTTTATAGAATTAGAGTGACAAATGAGCACATATATCATCTGATGGTAAATGGGTGCTGTGGCCAATAGACATCTACATTTATCCTCAATTAAGAATCTAAATGCAGATGCACTGTCGCCCCTAAGGACAAAGATGGAATGCCTCGTTTACAGTAAAAAGGGTCTCTGGTTCTCTACACTCACCATGAAACACAGTAGCATAAAGTTGCTATTTTACGCTGGTATTCTGTGTAGCTATAGGTGGTTAAGGGAAATGCTTAGTAAGCCTACACTTTATGTTATAATTTTCTGCCTACTAGTAGGTAGAGATCATTTACAATAACTAGATTAATTCATAATTACACATGTGTATAAACAAACTTCATATGCCTTTTTTAGAAGAATAAAAACTTATTATAAATACAAACTAACTGTAAGTTAAATTTAAGGAAATATCTAAAAACGAAAACAAAATAACTGGCGAAGTCCACTATTACATACCGGTAGGTTTCGGTGTTTCTGTCAATGGTTTCAGTTTCTTCGCAGCATTCAAAGTATTAAAATAAGTGCCGTTTAATGGTCGTTTCACTGGTTTATTTTCTTTATTCTCCTCGGATGCTTTAAAAGAGCTAGAAATATCTTTTAAATTATGTGGTCTTCTATTTTCACTGCTCAAGAGTGTTGCATTATTTCTGTTTAAGGATAGTGGGAATTTAGACTTTTCAACACCTTTTTTCGTTTCCGAAATAGAATTAACTGGCATCTTCAGAATACCTATAAAAGAAACAGGCAGTAATTACAGGATGGTAAAAAATAGTAGCTACTTTTCAACTTTATAAATGGTAAGATTGATCAAGGATGTCGGTGAATATATCTCTTGATTTAAAATACTCACATGAAAGATTTTAATACACACATTGACTTACATCCTATATTGTAAGACAATGCATTCTCAGACAGAAAAACTATAATATTTTGCAAGTATTCAGAAAAAATAAGCGCAAATAGCCCCATTCGTAATAGACGGCCATATTCGTCATTCGTCATACATAGATTATTTCTCATAAAGTAAAGTTCAAAGAGTATAGTAAATAGTAAAGTTCTCTGTGGTCTTATCCAAAGAGAATATAATCACTACTTTTACGACTTCTAGTCATGTCATAAATTGCATACAGTGCCACCAACTTACTTGTTCAGGTGGACAAAGTTAGAACAAAATCCGCGATTTTATAAATGACATTTCTTTGTAAGCTATCGTTTGAAATCATTGTAAAAAGTAAAAAAAAAAACAGTGTAATATATCCTTTCAGCTGCGGAGACTCTAACCGTAATACTCCGATATTTTGAATTTGGTATATTGAATACTATAATATGTATACATTTCTGAATTCTCTATGAAATTTCCTATAAACGAGTACATATATTTAATAAAGTTTTAAAGTAATTAGTATAATTAAATATTGAATAAAGTCAAAACTATCATATTTCTCAATGACACAAAGTTTTTTAATAGTTCAATTTTATTTTATTTTAATCTGACATCTATTGTTTACAATATTTTATGTGCAAAATCATAGGCTACAATAGAATTTTTTATCATAAAACGCATTAATAATAAGCTTACAAGAACCCACAATCAACTTACACCGATGTAGAATTTAGTTCGGATCAGATGCGGCATAATGCGGCGTAATGCTTTAATCAATAAAAATAGTTTTTTTTTTATTTCATTATAATGAATCAGTCTTGAATTGAACCTCTCTTTTTCTTTACATGATTCAGTCATCTTTCAATAGGTCTTGCAAAATTTTAGAAATCTCATAAAGTATTCATAAGTACTCTTAATGCCGATATCGAAATCTTAGTCGTAACTGGGTAAGGCCGTAGATTTTGCCACTTAGTAACATAGAGTAACATAGACACTTTTATGTTACGGTAACATTGAAGTAACGCGAAAGTAACGTGTAATGTTTGTAAGGCCGATTGCATAACGCGCTATTTTTAGCCGACTTCAAAAAAGGAGGAGGTTTCGACGCATAAGCTAACTGTACAATTCGCCAACTGTGAGAAGTTCAGTGATAGAAAAAAAAATAAGTTGAAAAATGTTTAAAACTATCAACAGCTTAGAGTTATTACACAACCATGAAATCTGACCAAGTTTACCAAATATTAGGAAAATAATACTACGATATAAGTGAAGTAACAAAAATATTTAATGTCATGGATAGAGTTTCACAAAAACTCTTCTAACGAAAACAAAAAAAAAACGAAATAACATTCATTATAATATGATTTAAACCTATAAAATAAGCTACACATTGAGATCAATAGTGTTTCGTGAAATCACAAAATTAGAACAATATAATCTTTCTCTAAAAGTTTTTACAATTATCACACGGGTTATCTTCTTAAATAAAATAGTAGGTACATTTCTAGGAAACTAACTAATATTGGTATTTATTTTCTTATAAAATTGACACGAAATGTTTCTTATAATCTGTAGTTAAAAAATACTTTAGAAATATGAGTAGGTAATTACAACAAATTTAAAATTAAAAAAAAATCTCGTAGCCAAATGAAATAACATAAATAAGTAAAAACAAAAACTACATAATTCTCTTTAACCTAGGTACAGACGCGAGAACATCAACCTACCCCAATCTGTCAAATTTTCTCAATCGAACATGAACCGTCTACTTTTGTGGTAAAGTTGAAAATCTATTAAAGAAATTTGACAGATTGGAGTGGGCTGATGTGCTGACGTCTGTACATAAGAGGTCATTGCAATACAAAACCTTTCCTACACCTTATAAATAAATATTCAACAATTAAAATAAACCAAATCAATATTCTACTCTCTCTACTCAGGTAATATTCTTTAGAGGCTTTCTCCCGTTGAATCAAATTTACCTTCTTGACGATAGAAATATTGGTCACTATATCAATATCTGATTTTCTTTGGACTACAAATCACGGAATCAGATAAATCCTTCACAGTTTTCAAAAATTTTACTTTATAATAATTTTCTCCGTTCTTAAATTCTATATTCTCAACAAATCCTATAAAATATTTCCACGTTTTCCATTGGAAATATCGAACTATTATGCTATCAACATAACATAACAAATTTATATTTAAAATAAAGTTCTGCGTATTTTCTTCACTCTCAATTGCTTTTTCTCCTTCTTCCTTTGTATTCGATTCCTTGTCACTTTCATCTTCTTTTAAATTCTCAGATTTGTTTATTTTATCTAAATCTGTTTTCTCCATTTGTTTATATTTATCTGCGTCTTGTAAAACTTCACCAATATTATTTTGTCCTCTCATGCTTTCAAGTTGTTTTTTATATTCAGTCTCAATTGTATAATTTTCTTTATTTTCATCAGCTTCTTTTCTCTCTTCTTCTGCGATAACAATTAGAATTTCCTTGCTTTCATCTTTCTTAGTAAATTCAATCTTCTGGCTTCTCTTCTATTAGAAACTTTTCTTTCAAATTCTTTTTTGATCTCTTCTTTGGTATCATTTTTGTTTTCCCTGTTCTGGTCGATTTTTCTTTTATCAGTCTCAATTTTGTTACTTCTTATTTCCTTTATCGGGTCTTCTTTTTCAAATAAATAACTCTCTCATAAATCATAACTTGCAGTATTTTCCGGGTTTTTTCTTATTTTTGACAAAATTGCCACAACATCTTTCCTAGTAACATGTTGCGTAGTTTCGCAAAATCTTTTATGAATTAAATCTTCATTTTCACAAATTATTTTTCTTTTCCTTTCATGTTTAGGATTATTTTCAGCATAAGGTTTCTTTAAAATTATTGTGGATAGCAGAGTGACTTTCTTGTTTGGATTAATTTTTGGCCTCAGAACACCTGTTTTTTCGTCAAGTTCTGTGATTAGATTGTTTTCATCGTCGTTAAAATCTGGACTTATTGATTCATCAGAAAAAAACGCCGAGGCGTCGCTTTCCGCATACTCAATACTATCATCATATTCATCTTCTTCGGTTGATGAACTGAAACGCCTTCGCCTAGTTTTATTGCTATTCTTTGAATTTTTAACTTCCTTTTTCTTTTCACATTTTTCTTGTTTATTCGATGTGTGTTTTTCGTTTGCGTAAATAGTGGGCAAAAAGCTATGAGCTACAGGTGAGTGACATTCACAGTTGCCTCTTGTTTTCAGTTTATATTTTTTCACAATGTTGTTATCCAAAACTTTTCTCAAAACATTCTTTTCGGTATTGTTAGCAGTTTGGAATTGTAATTTTAGTGACTTCGTTAGTACATCGTGTTCTAGTAGTTTCTTATTAACTTCTTCTTTTTTGGGAGTTTCAATGTTAGGTATGTTATTATTTATGAACTCTGTTACTTCTTTCATCGGTGTTTTCTCTTCTAATTCTCGCGTATATGTGTCCTTTGTTTCATCTGTCGTGATTAATCTAGTTAATAAATTTTCGTAATCTGCCTGCATCTTGTCTCTTTTCTTTTGTTGTCTATTCGTTTTTTTCTGAACACTTTTGAAACCTTTAGTCAATGTGTTTAACTGTAATCTCGGTTGTGCAGTTTCTTGTTTCAGCCTGTATTCAATTTGGCGTTGCATATTACGGCAAGTTAATTGGTTATTATCTTGCTTGGAATTTGAAGTATGTGACGTACCCGGTTCATTTTGTGATGCCATTTTTGCATCTGTTGCTTTTTTCCGATCTTCCTTCCATTTATTCCGTAACTCTTGTTTGTGCTCTTCAGTATAGGTACTCTTTTTTTTCTCATAGTAACGTGCAGATCTTTCTTTGGCCTTCTTTTGTATTTCTTCATACTTTTGAGGGTTTTCTTTTTTCAACTTATCGCGATATTTTTTCTGCTTTTCAGCTGAAGTCGTCGGCGGCATCTGTGACAATGTTTATATTGTCTTATTGTTAATCAGAAAATTAAAGGGATGTTTAATACATTGACTAAGGTTCACACTACCCGCCTCGCAACACATTTTTTTGTACGTATGTGTATCTCTCTTTAACGCTAATCGACATCCTTTGCTAGAAAGAGAAGACCGTTCGCGCGAATATCGAAGTAAACATTAAAAAAGTAAAAACAAACTTTTAAAAAAATACGTGGTAAACTGTTAGATTTGGTTTAATTTTTAGAAACAATTGGCATCGATATCCTTAATTGTTTTTCACATTTAGAAACTTTAAAGATTAAACTTTATTTTTTTGAAGTCATTTTTTACTTTTTTTCAGTTTATTTTATTTTTCCACTTAGTGGCACAAAAATATGGTTTAAAAACCTTTCTTTTTCAGTTTCCACGAATGTCCAAACTACTTAAATGACACAAATTAATTAAGGCAAATAAACTACTCTTGTCTTATGTGTTTTTTGAATTTCGTAAAACAATCTATACCAATAAATAAAAGTATAAGTAGGTAATTAGTAACTGCTTGGAAACCAAATAAAAAAAATGCCCTCTGTATATCAAATAAAAAAATTACTGAGTGGATTTTTCATTACTCTACATGACCTTAAAAAAACCTTAAATACCTTAAAAAAAGGTAAATATTTTTTACAAAAAAAGTATATTTAATAAATTACATATGCACAAACCTTCACAACAATAAAACGTTACGAAACATACAATCAACGTTACCAGTGACATCAAAGCTACATAGAAGTAACGTTAAAGTGCGATTTTTCAGGTTATAAATAGACATAACTCGACATCAAGGTGTATTTTAAACATAGACACATTACCACGCACATATTAGTTACTCGTGCATAATAATATATAATATGTGAATAATAAAAACTGATATTTACCTTTGAAATCGCCAAAATTCACAATTAAAATTCACTGCCGAAACACACGCGTGCACCTTTGACAGACTTCCGACACGACAAGATGGCGTCTTTTTTAAAAAAAATTGTGCTGCCTGAATACTTAGTGTTGCCAGTGCAATTACAAAACACTATCAAACTGTTTTCAATGCTTTGTAAGGGAAAATTTTGGTAACATACAAAGTAGTAACGTAGAAGCAAAAATATGGAACATAAGTTTAAATAGTAATAAATCTATAAAAAAACGCGTTATAAAAGACATAAAAAGCACGATGTAGTAGCTTCCTATTAAGAAATTTCAGATAGTCACAAATTAATTAAACGTTCATTACAAAAATATAAGTTTTATAGTTTAAATGCTAAAAAGACAGCATGTTTTTCGTTAAATTTGGGAGTCTGGACGAATTTAAATCGTTGTATTTTTTTTAATGTACAACTTATATTAATATTAAGAATATTTTGTAAGAGTTTAAGAGATGTATAACCTAATTAAAATACCTCCATTACAATTTACCCACTATGTTGTTTTCTATAAGCAATGAAAATATGAGAATATTTTTTCATCAAAAAGTGGCAAAAACGACGGCCTTACCCAACTGCCATATTTATTGAAAAATTAATTACTTTATTTGAGCAAACAAACTTTAACAGCACTTGTACAGAAATAAAGATTCATTAATTCCTTTAAAAACCATAAAACCACTCAAGGGTCACTCCCGCTGATGTAGAGTTATAAATAACGTTTTTTGTAAACAATACCCAATGCACCATAACATGTGTCGAGTGACAGAGGCACCGCGAGGTGCTCAGCGGTTATGTTACATTTCCAATAACCAACAACATTATTTCTCCAAAAGGTAACATATTTTCTTTAACACAAATAATAGCTACGAAATAATAAAATTTAAAATAAATATATCTCTTCCTGAAATAAAAAAATAATATAATTTATGTATATTTTTAAAGAACCAACTTCTTATGCATTATACAAAAATATACCACAATTAAAGTCCGATTCTGCACTTTTTTGTGCATCATGTACTAGTCCATTAAAACATTTTTTATACGCGGTAGAGCCATGCTGCAGTTATATTAGTAGTATAGTTGTAGCACGAATAGGCCGGCTCGACCGGGGAAGAACCACGCTCTCACCGAATACCAGCGTGAAATAATAGCTTAATGCTTCTGTGTTTCGTATGGTGAGTGTAGAGAACCGGAGAGCCTTTTTACTGGAAAGAGGCGTTCCATCTTAGTCCTCACGGGTGACACGCATCTGCATTTTGATTTGTAATCGAGGATAGATGTAGATATCTATGGGCCACAGCAACCACCACAGGTGGACTACGTGCTCTTTTGTCACCCTATCCTATAGGTGTATTCATTTCAGATTAGAGCCGTGGTAGCTCAGAAGAGCCGTGGTAGCTCAGATGGTTAGCTCTCGCTGTAAATTTCACAGTACGCTAGCAAGCCGGGTTCGATCCCCGCTAGCAATAATGAAATTGTTAATTGCAATTTTAAGTGCTGATCTACCACGTATTCGGCGGATAAAAGACATTGTGAGAAAACCTGCACGTCTGTGAAATAAGAAAAAAAATATTTAGAAGACATGTGAAGTTCGGCAACATGCATTGGGGTAGCGCGACGGAAACTTCTTTGCCCTAAAACCCTCTGAGAAATAAGGGGATGCCTTTGCCAGCTGTGGGGCGTAAAAGACTGTAACTTAACTAACTTAAGTATTAATTTCGACGATGAGAGAGCCCTGGTAGCTCAGATTGTTAGCTCTCGCGTTAAATTTCACAGTACGCTAGCACACCGGGTTCGATCCCCGCCGGCATCAATGAAATTATTAATTGCAATTTTAAGTGCTGATTTAACTCTTGCTCGGCGGTGAAGGAAATATCGTGAGGAAGTCTGACTGTCTGAGAAATAAAAAAAAATATTTCCAAGGCATGTGCAGTTCGCCAACACTCATATAGGCAGCGCAGCGGACACTTCTTCGCCCTAAAACCTTTTCAGAAGTGAGGGAAGGCCCAGCAGTGGGACGGAAATAGGCTGTGTAACTTAACCAACTTAACAATTTCGACGATGATAGTCTGAAATAATTAGCTGAACAAAAGGCAACAGTAAAAACTAAATGGATGGATGGACATAAGTATAAAATTGAATAAATATATAACATAGGTACTCATTTCTTTAAAAGGCTCCTGGTACTTGTTGGATTTACTGTATCTACAGTACAATTCATTTACGAATGGTACTGTAGGTAGCAGCAATCTTGCTCTAGGTTGAAACATAACGCAACGTTACAGGATTTGTAAAGTACATACAGATAAAATGTACACTAAAAAAAAACAATATAAGAAGTATGTGTCTGAGGTGACCTTAAAAATCACAACCTGTACATATTAAATTAAAAAAATAAAAATTTCAAATATTAATTAATATTAAAATAAAAATATTAAAAAGCATATTATGTAAATACTTTCTAATTTTCTGATTTAATAAATTGTTTAAAAAATTCCGAAGTCTTGTGTTAACATACATAACATATCCAAATGCCGCATTCAATTTTTCATAAATCATCGAATAATCATGGAGTCAACCAAGCTCCATTTCTCTGCTCGAGGGCGCTAGATTCTTTACCATTCTAACCATTCAACCGAATTTGAACTTGATGCAGTATGGCAAACTTTAGTTCCTTTTTTCGCCATTCGCAAAACAGAGAACTAGAATTCACTACTGCGGACGTCTCAAAAATTGACACTATTGCATCTATTGCGTATTTACATTAAAATTTTGAAAATATTGCACTTTATCCTCATTTTAATGTACTAAAACTGTGAAAGATGAACAATTACACATATTTTAACACAAAACTGACAGTCAAAACTAAAATTTTACGTACATTTCAAGTCAACTTTCCTCAACCAGCATGTTAGTTATAAGATAGCAGTTTGCTTCATACATATTAAAAAAACGATTTTACACGTACTTAATAAGATAAAACACAAAATGAGATTACAAATAAGAAGGGTACTTACCCAGGCGTTGTTTTAACATAATTCACCACACAATAAATATAAATTAATACAAAATAATTACAAACAACTTCGTTGTTAGCGCGCGTCAATCACACTAATGGCTGACTCAAGGAACGGACGACATTTAAGAATGATTTAAATAAAATATACTAATAAAGTGTATAAGCTGTGGGGTTTTTATGCTAGCCTTTTTTATCCTGTATACGTTGACATATTGTAGAATGAGTTAGAAATAGCGCATAATGCTTTGTTTCTTCATTAAAAGAGCGGGGAAAAATGTCTAACACTTGGGCCCGCAGTCAATGGAGATATTTTCGTGTCCAAGTCTTGGACATCCGCAGTTGAGAGGTTAAATATATATATATATATATATATATATATATATATATATATATATATATATATATATATATATATATATATATATATGGGGTTACCTATTTCCTCTGTAAATTTCTTAAGTGGTAGTAGTAAGCTCTCCATTAGCGACTCTGTCAACCTCCGGTAGGAGCAATAGTGTTTTGTGCTGTCAACGTAGACAGAAAAACCTGGGTTTCTCTGTCTACGGCGGTCAACTCAACATTAAAGTTAGTGCCATGGAGGTTAGAGAACAGGAGAACGATAGCCGTAGAAAATAGTGTACCAGAAATATGGACACCATAAGTGAGGCGCTGCAATCGCTAGGTTCGCTCATTTTCAGTCTATTTTCAGATCAGATGCTAAACCACTTGCAAATCCACGCAAAATAAAATATTTCTTTATTTTTTAATGTTTCTTTTTGTCAAAAATTAAAAAATTACGGAGCATGAAAATTTTCTCACCAATACCACGAAAAAATTTGTACATTATTCAACTAACTTCATCTACTTGTACTCATAAAAACCTAACTTGCCTGCCACTACTCACCGACGGCAGCGCCGCCATGTATTCTACAATTTTTTGAGGACAGGCGGGCTATGCTTTAGTACGTAGCGATCGTTCTCCTATTCTCTAACCTCCACGGTTAGTGCATAGATAA